CTATCCAGTTATTATCTGGATATGATTTTATACCATAAGATATTCACGACCCATATAAAAGATAATTTCTTCAAAAGTGTCACTTATAGTTTTCAACCACTCCCCCTTTTTCTACTAATTGGATATTTGACTTTGCCATCTTTCCTGAAGAAATAGTAGATTTCCAAATTCGAGAGACAAGCATGCTTCTTCTCTTCCCTTCCCTTTTTTTTTCCCCTTTCTTTTTGTTGGGAACAATGGTACGATTCATGAAGAACTTTACTTTAGTACCAACGGATTCCTAGAGATTGGACCCCACTACAGTTCTATCCATCTTTTCAAGATTTAATTTAGTACTTCATTGGATCTTAAAAGCATTGGATCTTACCTAGAATTGAGTCGATAATTTAGGGAAGGCAACGGGACATGTATGGGATGGGTTGGCCATTGCTACCCCCATTCCGTCGGATTTTTTTTTGTTACTTTATCCCATCTCCATACTCGCTTAAAGCGGGACAGGTTCAAGGCGGAGCAGGGCAAGTTTTATGTCCCATTTATCGCCTCATTTATTTTTTATTTATTTTATTTTTTACTTTTAACTTTTTTATATCTTTAATTAGTAAATATTATTACTTTTTTTACCAATTTATTAAAAAAAACTTATGTTCTCTTAAAAAATGATGATAAATCTATTATTTTTGTTTAATAAAAAACTTAAATTTGAAATTAACTTTAAATCGGGTGGGTAGCGGGGCGGAAATTATGCTTTCCGTACCCGTTTCATACCCGCTTTGGGGGCAATGAACCCGGTCCAGTCCCGTTTACCCGATTAGGCGGGTAATCCCCACCCCCATTCGGGGCGGGACCCCACGGGTATCGGGTTAAACGGATTTTTTTGCCATCCCTTGTCGATATTGAAGTGTTCGACATTCTTGTTAATGTAACTTTATAGAATATCAGTATATTAATTTTAAAGTACTAGCTTTGTGAGTTGTGTAGCGACCATTGTGTGTATATGTACACAAGTAAAAAGTAATTCGATGATCATTTGAATGCCAAGGGATGTATACGTGAATCACACACACAAAAAAGGACTAAATTGTTCTCTCGTAGGAAATATACAAAAGAAATCTAAAGAGTATGACAAACATGAAGCATATAAAATAATTTTGCATCGATATCGGAGGTTTAAATGAGATGGTTAATATTTATTTACAAAATGTAAGACTAAAGTATTTAATGTTTAGGTCTAAATTTATTTAAAATTGCAATTAACATGAGCATATATTTTTAGCATGTGGATATTAATGATAAATAACAGAAAATTTTTGCTAAATGACAAAGGTTTTTATGTGTTCTCATCATAGTCTTTTTGAAGCTAAGGAATTTGTATATCATTAAGATTTACGCATGATTGTCATCCTAAGCTCATTTTGACACTACTCAGTACTAGGAGTGGATAAGAAAATTGTTAAAATGTCAAATCAATTCTGGTCCACGTGGACTCATAAATATGTTTTCAAGACTGTTGATTTTGAATCGAAATATGTTTTTACAACTGTCGATTTTGGTCCACGTGGACACACAAATATTTCGGTTTCAAAATAGAACCGAACTATTTAGAAACAATTCGATTTAAGTTTTAATAGTTAAAAATTGCTTAAAATCAAGACGAGGCACTAAAACAATTAATTTTTTATTTTACATTTTTTTTTACCTAAGATATAAGCTTGTTTGGGAGGATTAAAATCATATTAAAATTGAAAATATAGCCGTTAGAGTTGACTTTTATTAGACCAGTGAGACCCAATAATGTCTATATTTTCAATTTTAATTGGATTTTAATCATTCCCAAACAAGCTCATGATATAATTTATGATAATATTTTTCTTATATATTTCAGAAAGAATATATTTTAAAAACATATATTTTATGGTAGAAATTTGTATTGTTTTATTTATTGTTTTAAACGAGACAAATATATAATGATAAGTTGCACAAGTTTCCAAACCTTACAAAAAAGTGCTATGAGGTCCCAAACTTTTCATTTTTTCATCTGAAATCCTAAAACTTTAAATTAATATGCAGTGCGAGATTCCCTTGGAACGATTTTTGTCCAAATATTTGTTAGTTGACCCATAAGCATCAATTGACCAATTTAAAGAATGACAAAAGAATTTTTAATATTATTTCATTTAAAATGATTCCAAAATCTGAAATAAAAACACAAAAAGGATAAGATAAGATAAGAAATAAACATTGATAAACAACTTAAATAATAATAATAAAAAAAATTCTTCCCCGCCTACCCCTTGACCCTATCGTTGCAATCGTCGCCACCATTTTCCCATCTGCAACCACTTCCCATCCCCACCACCATAATTGGTTTCACGATGAACCAAAGTCGGTGGTGGTTGGGACTTGGGAGTGGAGTTGGTCACAAATGGAAAGCGGTTGCGATGGTCGAAATGGTAGGGTCAAAAGGGGTAGATAATATGCTGACCCTTTTTTCTTCTTTAAATTTGTCAAATATTGGTCAATGGATGACTTATAAGTCAACTAACAGCCTTTTTAACGTTCAAGACACCTCGCGTCACATATTAATTTAAAAGTCAGAATCACCACTTTCGTGATTTTCTGATGACATGTAATTTAAGAGTATGCATATTAATTCAAAAGTATGGAATTCACCACTTCGATTTATCGTTACAACGTAGTTCAGTAATTGGACCGCTTGAAAACTGCGACCTAACATATTATCGTCGATTTTAACATCACTCGCAATACAATCTACTTTGTGCACTGTACTTACGCGTCATGGAAGATAACATATGCAACAAGAATCACTTGTGCTAAAGGAACAATGGATTGATTTGGACCACAAGATGTACTTCTTATCATCTCCACTTTTTATTTTGTAATCATTTCCCAATAGAAAATATTTCAACTCTATTAAGTATTCTATTTTTGTTAAGATATGCCAAAGTTGGCTGATATTAAAAGGCGATGCACGCTCGTCTCGTCGGTGCATATTACTAAATAAAAAAAAAAATTTAATACGCCGACCAAAAACTCTACATTTGGAAATTAATTAACCTTTTTGAGCTAACTGAATAATTATTTTTTTTATTGCATTAATTCTAATAACGTATTATGTATTGATCAACAACCGGATTAATCGTACCTTTCGATTTTGATTATAACGAAAAATGAAATCGAAGTGAACTATGTACGTTCCTAATTACAAATTTAAAATAAATTTAACTCTTGCTTTTACAATATTGTATGTTGATACTCAATCGATTTGTTGGGTAAGAATTGATTGGTTTTTTTTTTTTTTTAATAACCGTGAGTGTTCGGGTCAGCTTGTGCGCATTTCGACTAATCCCACGAGATTCTAAGTCGTTTTGTTGTGTAAGAATTGATTGGTTTTTTTTTTTTTTTTTTTAACCGTGAGTATCCGGACAGCTTGTGCGCATCTCGACTAATCCCACGAGACTGAGATTTACGGTCTGAGGGGACTCAAACTCGTGACCATTGTGGAGCAAATCCAAAGACTAAGTGTCTGACCAATTAAGCAACCCCTCAAGGTTATTGGTTTTGGTTTTTGAAAGAACAAAAATCGTGAAATGAAGCGCTAACAAGAAAATAATTATTTAACAAAATTACTTATTCTCAAGTAACCCTCTGCCTAAGAAAACGTAAACATAGGAAAATGATGAATGAGAAGATTATTGATCGCATTTTTTCATGAAATCTTCGTCTTTCTTTGTTGCATCACAATTGACACAATCACTTCTATTCATGAACTCCCAACGTTGAGCATTCCATAAACTGTCAAATTCCCATTATTCACTAACGCTGTAAAAAATCCATCATTAAACCTACCTTAATTGTTTTCTCCACCAAATGGGATAATTGCAGCCACGGCATGGAATCCCTCAAAATTCGTTAGTTGACCACGAAAACTGATTTTGACCACAATTTAATTAATTTTAAAATGGTAAAAGTGATGATTTTATATATATTTTCACATAAAACAATTAAAATAAAAAACTCACCCACCGTCGACCACCAGTCAGCCACCTAAACGAGTTGAGCAAGGTAGCAATGGTGCATTACTGTGCACGTAAAGATGGGAAGCAAAATTATCATTTTGTCCTTTTAAAATTGATTAAATTATGGTAAAAATTAATTTTCTTGGTCAACTAACGGACATTTGGACAGATTCCATCCATTCGTCCTCCAGTCACACAAAATTGAAAAGTTTGGGTCCACGGGTACAACAAATGAAAGATTAGGGTGAAATATGTAACAATATAAAAATTTGAAACCATGACTGAAATTATCCCCCACCAAAATAAACTACACAAATATAAGTCAATACATGTTTGGCTGAGCTTGAAAAGCTACTTTTTTTGAAGGAATACCTATATGCACAAATATAAGTCGATACATGTTTGGCTGAGCTTGAAAAGCTACTTTTTTGAAGGAATACCTATATGCACTTTTGTCTAAAGCAGGTACCCGATAAATTGTTCAACCATGCTACATGTACACGCTACTTTCACATTTTAGTTGGCACTATTCCATGTGGATCCATTAAAATCGTTGATTTTAAACTCCTCTATCACATCGCAGCATAGATTTCTTCCACGTAGGGAGGGATGTCAACAAAGGTATAAAGCACAATGTACATCTAACATAATTCTAATTTGTTGGATAAATCTATTTGTACATGTCAACATTGTTAACAATGTTGTAGGTGGCAAAAATATATTGGTTGAAAAGATAAATTATTTTTTAAACTGTCCAATGATAACATGTCACGTGACATATTGTCAACAACACGGTACACCAAGCATGATTCTAATTTGTTTGCTCAATCAGCATGTAGATTCTTTTGTGGAAATATGCACTTCAGATCTGCACATGGACTAATACAAGAACGACGAAGCCCAAAGCGAGAATAAAAGCAAGGTATAAATATACATTTGCAAATGTACAGTTTTTTTGTGTCATTACAATCTGTTTCTCAATATTTCCAAGTCTTTCAATTTTCTTTTCAATAGAGTATGCTCATGCTGCATTTTCTCAAGTAAAGTCTCGACCACATGCATCTCCTCGAGAATTTTCATTTGCTTATCAAGCAAAATGAGTGTTTCCCCTCTATACATGCCACTCATACTGTCTGCTTGAGGAATCAGGTGGATCTGCTGAGGTCGACTTAATAGCACAAGAATGCTTATCTGTACAAAAAATATATATGGCGAACATTTTACGCACAAGGAAAGCAATAGTAGTATCATGCTAAGCAATAGAAAAACCAGCCCCTATGAGTGAAATAAAATGGTAACGATAAAATATGACGCTAGAGAATCGATTTGCATATAACAAGAATAACCTTCATTGTGTGATTCACGCATAATACATATTGATGATTTGGAAACAGGTACGATATATCCACGTGCATTTGTACATGCACACATAAATCTAGGTAGACATATTATAAAGACACATTTGTAAGTGTACCTGCATTAGAAGAAGAATCACAGCAACCGTCATGATCAGAAGTAGGGAAGTCGTGCTTTGATATTTCAAAGATGTACAGAATTTCCCAAAGGAATCTTTCAACAAGGATCCAACTGATGCAGAGCGACTAAAATTTGTTTGCGTGGCATTGGTGATTTGTTGGTTCACATCATTCAGATCAGGCAACCTTTTGGATATGTTTGCATCACTTGCTTTCTCTGAAACACATTTCTCTGTGTTTGCTTGCTTTTCTAGTCTAATTTGACCATTTGGTATTAACTCCGATTGAAGACTGACAGCTGAATTACAATATACAATATGAAAATGAATATAATAATTATTGATCATCCAAAAACAAGCATGTAAAATAACTTCTAAAAATTCAGTGGCTAGAAGTTATGAACTATGTCAATTGGTTTCAAATATTTGGTTTCAGAACAAGAAACGTGCCTTCTTCCTTCTCAAGGTTCTTGAGCTTCAACAAATCGTGCGCCTGAAAAAGTAGTCCATTTGATCCTCATCAACACTCAAACTTTAGCAAGTAGAAAGCTTAAGATACGTGAGAGAAAAAGAAGAGAAGATTACAAGATCTATCCAAATGTCATAAGCTTCCCGGCACTCTTCCACTGTAGACTGCACTATCTTCCCTGCAAAATTTAGCACCAACTCAACACCCGAACCAAATTTAGTAGCATCGTACAAGAAATAGTTCATCAAATTCAACTTATAGAAATATGAATAAAAACACAGCCCATGCTCTACTGAATGCACAGCATTCAAACACCAATTCCTCACAGGTATTTAAATCTTCCTCTCAATTGGGTACATGAAGTCAGCTACCCCTAGGTTGCACGAGAGTATAAGAAAAGAAAGTGACTTGACAAACCTCTCCACATAGTTTTCTTGGAAAAGGCCACATGGATGTAAACCTTCATTATACAGCAAGGCTTTGAATCACTACCATCTCTCACCACATCCCACCGCCCCTGTAAAAAAATTTAAATTAGAATCCAAATAGAAAATTCATGAATGTTCACCAAACAACTCTAATTGCTTTACGAACTGATGAACTGAACAGCTATAGAAGATAAGGTGGTAAGTTTCATAGAATCTCCTTGAAAGAAAAATGGACAAAGGAGCTTACCAGTGATCTTATGTTTTCAGCATGCCGGCAAATACTTGAAGCTAATCACAGTTACTTTATTGCCAGTGATACATGCCATGATTGTTTCAAATACTTTTTTGCAGTTTATCAAGATCTTAGCTCTTTTAGTTCCGCGCCTTAAATTTATTTTAAGGAAAGAAAACAGAATAGTAACAACGATATCATTAATACGATACAGGGGCACCCGAAACGAATATTTGGGTTAAACAGATGTTCTCTAATTTATTTTTATTTTTTACTTTTTCATCATATCATACAACTGAATCCATGCTTTGTCAAACTAATATTGAAGATTAAATCGCCTAGATTTTAACTGTGTCAAAAGATAACAAATGGTAATGTTCAGTCAGAGGTTCTGGATATCACTGTTAAGGTATAACGGAGTATTACAAGATGTTGGCATCATCATTAATTTTTTCTGATTCATTTTTACCCCAAGTGCAAATGATGCTGAAGAACAGTAAAAGGTCCAGAGTTAATCATTCAACATATCAACAATGGACCAGATCAATGCCATAATTTTAAAAACCACACTTACCCACCCACCTAACCAGCCTCTTCTTCAGAACAAAAGAAAAAGAAATGAAAACACAGTAGCCAGAGGAGGCAAATTAAAATCTTGAAACATAAAACGGAGCGCTCCCACAGTATATCGTTCCACGGAATTTATTCCAAGAAACTCTGATATGATATGGAACACCGTACCTCAACTCGAAAATAATCCCCATATGGTACATCGCTGATCTCTTGTGAAGTCTCAGCAACCAAGTGACTGGCATCATACAAAATTATGCAAGTCAAATACAGAATAGAGCAGAACTTTACAGTGGGAATCCTAGAAAAAATGAGATCATAATTGGACATGACTCAAAATTTGGGGTGCATTGGCCAGCTGTTTCAAAGAAATTACAAACTTGAATTTAACTATGGAGAATGCATCATTATTTGCCAGCAGCTCTCACAATGGCTAAAGTAAAGATCAGCTCAAAAAGAGTTCCCCTGATACTATGCCACAGAGAAAATTTCATTTGAAGCTTAAACAATGAAGATTCAAAATTCTAGAATTTGAGATATTAGCATTACAGCTACAAAGGGCTGCATTGCCTTCCCAAGCAAGTGCATCCCTACTCCATTATAGTGTCTAGGCGTTAGGCCACGCCAGCAGTGCATTAAAGAACTGCACTAGAGAGCTCCTCCAGATAGTTTTGCACAGAAGCTACTTTTTTATACTTCCAAGCACAACTTTTGCAGTTACCAAATACCTAGATACCCAACTGTCGGCAGAAAACCAATTTAGTAGGCTATGCGTCAGCAAGATGTATTGCACTATGTCCCTTAGTTATTTTTCAACACTCAAAAAATTCTTAGTACTCAGTAATTAGTTTTATAATTTTGTGATTCAGGCATAATAAATTATTCCATTAGAAATAATGAGACTTACGAAGAAAGATATAACTTGAGAGGTAAAACAATTGTACCATAGCACATTTACTATAAGAAAGAGAAAGAGCTTCATGCTCCTTAATTACAGAAATCTGGTTTGATCAACATTACAAAAATATATTCCAACATGCTTAACTACACAAAGCAGGTTGCTCAAAACTAAATACTACGCGACCATACACCAGGTAAAATAGAAGATTAAAGTTCATAGAATTTTCAGCACAAATAGAAAGGAATTTTAGCAAAAAGTGTCCGGTAAAAATGTCTAAATTATAATAGGTTGGAACATAAAATATATCACGAGAAGCATGTTTTAAAAATAAAAAGGCAACAATTCTAGTAATACTATACTAGCAGGAGGGAATGATGGTGGCATTAGCAGAATAAGTAATAACGATCCTGATTATTCAAGCAAGTGGAAAATTATTATCATCTATCTTATCTACCATTTTTTATATACTCGATATTTCTGAACCTCATGACAGCTACCAAATCTTGCACCTATATTGAGCAAAATATAGAGTATGAGAAATAATAGGCTAGCATCGGAGTGAATGGACATCAACAAGATTTGATTGAAAACCTACCAAAATATTGTTTAATTGGATGTTGAAATGATGCATCACGGGTATGCCCATATATTTCATGCGCACGCCATGAAGTACATTTGAAATCTAAAAGGCAAAAGCGTGAAAGTTATTAATAGACGGCAATAGGTAACAAGGCAGTTTTCCTTCATGAGGTGAGGTTTAAGCCTCAAGGAGTTTGAGGTATAAGCCTCACCAAAGACTAAAAAATAAAAAAATTATAAAATAATACAAAAATAAACATGTAATAAACCACATACAATTTTCACAATTCTCAATAAAACAAACGCCAAAAATAAATTAATAAAGTAGCATATAATCAATAGTCATTTTGCTGGGGAAAAAAAAAAAGTTTAGAAGTCTCCAGAGCAGCCAAGGTCAAAGAAGAATTGTATTTGGTAACTTGGTGTCAAAATAAAAGCAAAGAGAAGTAAGAAATTCAGAAATAAAACAAAAAAAATTAAAAGCAAATCACCCGTTGCAAACTGCCAGAATTTTGTAGACTTAAAGACACTGGCAGAATATCGTGAGAAAGGTGGTTTTTTGTCTTGGGATTTGGGTAGAGGAGTGGAGCACGATGCAAAAGATTTTTGGTTTTGTTAGTCTTGGATGGGAGTGTAATATTAAGTCAAACAAGTAACTGCTAGAACCACCTAGAAATAAAGTTTCTAATGTTTATTTTTTTCCTTTTTAACAGTACCTTGAGACAAAAACCTTACGCCTCAATTTGAGGTGCACCTCACAACCACTTTTTAAACCATGACATGGTGGATTTAGAAATCAATATAACATTTTTGACTATTACCTTTATCACCGCATTTTCCATGAAAGGACTCCTGAAAACTAACACCATCATCTGAAACAAACAGATGAAAAAACTCCTCAACTTCTATCTGCAATGCACCAATCAAAATGTTAAAAAACCACTTCATTTCATGCTGCGTTCATTTTAAATAAAATCATTTAATTTATATAACATGAAAAGGAACATTTGTTCTACCGGGAACTTTGATTCAGCAACCATCGTGTAACATTCAGGAACTGCATTATAAAAAATTCAGTTCAAGATAGATAAAGTGGAAAGAGAAATTAAACTAAAACTCTAACGAATTTTGGGACAAAATTTATGTAAACAGAGGAAAAAACTTAATACTTTAAAGATTGTGATGTGATATGCAAAGTTGAGAGACCAAGTTAAAAAGCACATCTGCCCCCTCTCCACACAGAGACAAAAAGAAAAAAAATCCGATATACAGGTTCCTATTAAAGATTGTGATGTGATATGCAAAGGTGAGAGACCAAGTTAAAAAGCAACATCTGCCCCCTCTCCACACAGACAAAAGAAAGGAATCCGATATACAGGTTCCTAAGTGGCACAACATAGAATGAGGCATCAAAATAATTGATATAATATGTGCATACATAACTGGACATTAGAAAATGAAATTAGATATAACTGCAATATAGCACCCAATTCTTTCATACATCTATAAATTGACATGTATGATTGGTTATAGTAATTTTCAGGGAAATGGTAAGTTCCAAAAAAAAAACAGTAATATTAATTTAGGCAAAACCAGCAGCATAAAGTTCTAGGACCACAACTAGATGGAAATAATCACAGAAGAAGTTTGGTATTATTGCCATTCCTCGCGAGGAACTTGATCTACGATATGTTCTGTCCAATTTATTCTACCAATTTTAAGATACAAGTTATATCTGCAATATGATACCAACATGAGCTCTAATTATCTTTGCTATTGAGTACTTCGACTAAATTAGGGTACAGCTGTCTGTTTGCAGGAATACAAAAACAAATAAAACAAAACCTTAGACATGTGCCTTTTCAAATAAAATTTTTTGGCGAAGACTTGATATTAGGTGGTGATGCCACTCTTCAGTACTTGAACCTTTTGACACCTTGCATATAAAACGATTGCGACTTTCATTGCCATTTTTTAGTTACTTTTCATTTGAAATTTTTTCACATAGAGAAATATTTTGATCATTAATAGTGTCATTTAAATAGATTATGGACTTTTATCCAGTTAACGTCGTTAATACTCAATAGTGATTACTGTCATAACCTATGCTTCCTACTGAGATCCTACTACATGAATGATAAGATACTTCACTTTCTCATGGTATACATCAAAATTTACTAAAAACAATGATAACATTATCAATATGCTAAACCAAGTCTACATGTCTTTCATTCTGAAACAGAACAGAAATTTTTAATTAAAATGAAATTATAAAGAGCACAAAAACTTTTATAGTTTAATCCTTTTTAGAAATTGCCACTGTGAAACAGTAATTTAATTCTTATACATATTGGAGGCTATAAAATTTGACTGACCTCCAGGTGCATCTGAATCCTCCTCCCAAACAGAAGACTTTCCAGATGGTGAAAACTCAACACTTCGAGCAACTTCTACATCCTCTACCTCATTAGTTTGCAATCCTGAAGATGTTGACACAGGTTCAGGTTCATCATTAACTGAGAGTCTGGAATCTTCTGTCACAGGAACATCCTTATCCCTGATTCACACAGATAAATCATATCATAAAATTTATCAGGACTGTTAATTCAGTCAAAGAGCACAAGAGTAACAAAGAAAGAGCAATTTGGAAAGTCTGTCTTGGTTACAGGCAGCTACAGGGAACCATAAATAATTAAGTATTTACTTTGCAATCTAGTTCACTCGTTTATGCCTGTAATTTACAACATTTTTATAAATTTTTTCAGATGATGGCGCTTAGTCATTTTAGTAGAGACTAGTCATATATTGCTAGATGGACTTTTATGTGTTGGCTAGTTTTTACTTTTTTTGGCTTTTCCACATACATGATTAGTAGGTTCATCTCATGTCAAAAGGTTATTATAAAAAAAACTGAGTCATCTGCCCCGAGTTTAAACAGCCACAGCTTTATTTCTTCCTCCTGTGTCTCAAACCCCAGTTGCCCCACATTCAGTGACTTGCCAGCAATTATCTGTGCAAGCATTATCATCTAAAACATACTCTGGAAAAATCTGCATTAATATAAAATCATAATCCACTGCCTCCCTTATGAAAAATTTACTCAGGGATTGAAATGTAACCTTGCTTCATCAACCTCACCATTTTGATTTGAATGTTTGGGTTACTATCAGTCGATAAGACATCTAAAGCAGCCTTCATATTAACTATCTTACTTTCAGAGAAAACGTTGACACAGAACAGTGAATCATGGAGAAGATATTACTGTGTGGGTGGATTTAGGAGTTCTTAGCAATGAGAAAAGTCAACTGCAACATTCAGTTGGAGACAAGGATTTATCATGATGCATCTCAAGAAAAATACCTTTCAACATTATCCAGCTTGTCCACATATTGCCTGGAACTCTCAGATTTTTCAACTATAGCACTCCCATTCTCTTGGCTACTATTCTCAGACTTCAACTCCTGAGTTAAAGCAGAAGAACAATTAAAATAGTAACAGAACACGGTTAATATATCATACATGTATTTCATCAGATAATGACACAAACCATTTATACAATGAGACAAGAAAACCCACTCTCTTACTAACATATCTTGGTCTTCTATGATTCCTCCAAACAGAAAATTATGGACAATTTGACAGAAAAAGCAATAATCCAATATAGAATATTGTCCATGGCCACGTGATAGAACTGATCATCTATTACCTTTTGCAAGAAAATGATCTGACCGAAAATAATTTTACAGTTCATAATATGAAATGCACTAAGCAGCTTGACAAATAAGTGGCTCAAAAACGAATGATACCAAAATCCCTACGCAGAGAACAAAATTCAAGTTCCAGTTTGAAAGGCATCAAGATTTCAGTCCATATTCAGGTTACAAGCTGCTAAAAAATTACATACATATTGAAAACGGAAAAGCAACGTGGAAAGAAACGACAAAAATGTTAGCTAAGTACAAATAATTTAAATTCCAAATCCACGTCTTTCAGTTATAAAAGAGATCCACCACCATACAATGCTCTTTGCCTTCTGCCTAATTACCAAGGACCAGAGAAAAATAAAAATTCAAACCAGGGGCGGATCTAGGGACGGGCCAGCCTCTGCTACAGCCCGTCCCTCCAGCTTTTGCGTTTTAGCTCGTGTCCAATTTTTTTCTGGATCCGCCCCTGATTTAAACTGATTGGATAAAAGACCCATTGTGCACGTTTTACTGAATCTATGAGCTTCAAAATGATGGTTTGCATACTTGTGTGGAAAGTGTAACAAACCAACAAGAAACTAATCTTTGAAGGGAACATATTTCCCTTAGTTTACTGTCAAAGGAACTAAGTCTGAGTGGATTTCCCTGAACATCAGAGGAGATTGCAGATGTTTATATCAGGTTTAAGCAAATATTTCCAGCCGCTCAGAAGCCAATAAATGTATCCTCAAATATAGTAGGGAGTTAGGGACTTAGGTGTAAATAATTTTATCCTCGAATAAAGGAGTGAGGGACTCGAGTTTCATGTAGTAGCATACTCATGAAGCTGCATTTATGTCATCCCTGGCAATGTTTTGGCTGAATGACCACTTTATGAAGTGGATTTTCTTCATTAAGTAGAAAATACAACGCCAATTATGGCAAGATTCTAGTGATTATAATTGTGGTATTAGTCTATCTAATTACACTGCATATTGGAAAACTTATTTACATATATAAAGTATAGTAACATAATCTCTACCGTTGATAATCCCATCCAAAATTTTGAACAGGTCGCAGGAGTCTTGAAGATGAGTTTCACATGACAAGATTATACATCCAACGATTCCAACCCCATAACCAACCATGGTCGTCCTTGTCCACATTCTAGCAACTCATAAAACTAGAATTCCATTTTATTTACAATGAAATGGAATGATGATAAGCAGATAACAATCTTCAATTCTTATCCACATGATACTTTATAAGGATAAATGACAGCAATTATGTCACAAAGCTACCACATAAGTTTCAGTCTATTTTTTTTTTCAGTCATTAATTGAAAAATGTACAATATAAAACATAGAAACACTGTGCCCCAACCAGGAAGATATCAGAAAAATATAAAACAAAGTTAAGACTTACAAAAATCTGAATATGGATCAATTTAATTATGAATCTTAAACATGAATTTATATGCCATTCATCATCTAAAATACCTGTTGATCTGTAATTTCTTTAGACCCATTGCTATGCTGCAACCAGCCATCATTAATGAGCTTGAAAGCTTCATCACGGGATAATAAAGATGTGAAGAAATACTGTTTAAAAACAAATTAGTAGATGATCTTATGTCAAGTGGAAAAATACACATCATTTATAGAACAGAACATAACATAGCATTAAAACTAGGTAGTACCTTCTGCCCTCCAGCTGTTATTTCTATTGCGGTAGGGAAGATAGCGGCTACCTTTGCTCTCCTTACAAACGTGATTTCATGAAACGGGATGATTTTCTAAAAAATGAAGTGTCAAAGTTAGATTTTCTAACTAGAGTCTATGAAATAAGTACATGCCTCGAGAATGGTATAAAGGGAACAAAACACGTGTTAAATGATATAAGTGGGACCGTATCCACATTCAAAGGTCTTCCATTTTATTTTAAAATGCCAAATATTTAGAGTGTGTGAGACCACCAAAACCAAAGAATCACTAAAATTCATCTATTCCCATTGACCAACAGAAGAAATATCAACTTTATAATCAACCTAAACGCAAAAGTCAGCAATACCTACTATGTAACTGTTGCAGTTACATCGATATCATAATCCAGAATTTGTAATTCTCAATGAGGAAGCTACATATTTATACAATCTAATTACCAACATAAATATAAGATTCTTGTGGAAAGTGAGCAATAAACTTGGAAGAGGGAAGAAACCAATCACATTAACGTTTAGTCACTAAAGTTATAGACACCATGGAAATCACGTCATAACTTGTGCCAAATTTATATTTAGTTATTGGCTGACTGCAATTAAGGAACGCATTATACATATCATTGTTGTCCCTGGAATTTACATAGAAGATGTTCAACAAGTGAGCTCCCAAATTTGTCTTTCTACTATAATAGGAACAAAAGGAAAGAGAGGGGGAAGAGATCTCATGATCTCATGATAAATGACATATATAAGAATGAAAAGAGAAACAACTAATAATAGTATAGATTTCCAGTTGTCCAAGCCTTTACTGATGAAATCTTGTAGAATATGATTAGCGGCCAAGCACCATTTCTTATAGCACATGATTCTTGACTAATAAATCTTAAATCTATCTAAATATCTAAATATTTGATACTCGACCGAAGAGCAGTATTGCCTCAAAAATACAAAATTAAGATAAACATTTTTGCTTTTTTCACATAAATTGCCTACAATTTCATTTACCTAGCAATCATGTGTATAGTTATACAATCAATTCGATACAAACCACTCACCCACAAACACACAGAGAATAAGAATGAACATGACACCCGGATACCATCCAAATAAACTCTGGTCCAAATTGATAAAAAACTTAAAAATATGAAAGAGACAAACATATTAACCCAAAAACCTTCGTCATAAGAATGAACATGACACCCGGATACCATCCAAATAAACTCTGGTCCAAATTGATAAAAAGCTTAAAAATATGAGAGAGACAAACGTATTAACCCAAAAACCTTAGTCAAGTTTTGTATTAACCATCAAAAGAAATAAGGAGGTTAGAGAAGATAGAATGTGCAATTTTCTGTAGTAAATTTTTTTCATCATAGTAAGTTACTACAACAACAAAAGAGGACGTAATCTCACATTGAAGCGAATCTTTATAAATCTTACATGTTCTTGTGTCTATTTTCTTTCTACGATTATATTACTCTTGATGCAAGAATTAGGGTTTCTAATTTTCAACAATATCCAAATGGGCGTAGCAAAAGCAGATAATGAACAAAGGTATATAAACACCGGCATACCTTTGTCTCAAATCCAAATAGGTTGGAATAGAAGCAGATATAATGGTCAAAGAGGTATATGTGGCCCTGCAATGAAGAATAATACTCCCCATCAGGAATACTGTAATAGTCCAAAAGTTCTTCAACAACCACTCACATCGAAGTATGTGAATGATATAGAAAAAAAAAGGTAGTTTAAAACCGAATAACACAAATAATAGTTGCAACCCAATTCACATGATGAAAGTAAAAAGATAGCAATACATGAAGCATAAAGATGAAATTTCAAGAAAATCTCATTCTGAAACCAACTTGAAAATCATAAAGATCAATATTACCTGAAGAAGAAAATTCTCTTGCAATGCACAGTTAAAATCTTGAACAAGAACCTATAAAGAACAAGGAAAAACAAAATAACATATGTATGGGTATTTTGCAGAAAATATAATCGGATAGTTTAATAATCCAGAGAGAGAGAGAGAGAGAGAGAGAGAGGTTTAGAAAATATAAATGCCTAGACTGCTTTAAAGTTCAAAACACAAGAATTAATTTGTTAAAATTGGTAGCCTCGGCACAATCAGAAAAGGGAGCTGACCCACATGAACTGAAAACAGTCATAAACACTGAAAATAAAACTCAACAAACAGGTTTACATAACCAGTAGACAATAAAAGGTAAGCAAGATATAACATGAATGGCAACAATAACGAACTAAGCCTCATTCTTAATCTTGAGGTCAACTACTCGCAACCATTATACCATTATCTAAATCTGAGTTACTTTCAGGAAGGTTCTAGGAAACCAAATCATTTTCAACAGCTTAAGATATATTTTCATCTATCTCCCTATACATAAACAGAAGACAAAAAAAGGTAAGCAAGATATAACAAGAATGGCAACAATAATGAGCTAATCCTCATTCTTAATAATCTTGAGGTCAACTACTTGCAATCATTATACCATTATCTGAATCTCAGTTACGTTTCAGGCAGGTTCTAGGAAACCAAATCAATTGCAACAGCTTAAGATATATTTTCATCTCTCTCCCAACTAAAATGCATTGCTCTAGTTAACAGAAGTTTGTTCAGGCCTAGTCAAATACAAATTATCCTTTGATACCTCTACTTGTTGAAACCTCATTTCTTATGTTATATTATACATCAGTCAGTTTTCAGAAAGGCTAAACCAGATGTCTTCTATTTCCCAGCAGCAAGGATTAGGTCTCTACACGCTTCAAAGCATGACTCATTATAAAAAATTAAAAAAATTCAAAAACTAACAAAAATGCAGAATTACACTCGTAATAAACCAAAAACCATATAAAAATTTCATAATGAAACAATAAAATTAAGAGTTTAACTTGCAATTCAAAATTTAAAAATACATCAGTAAAGTAGCAAATAATAAATTAACAGAGTTTTGATCACATACAAGACCACTAATCCAAAAACACAACTAGAACTAAAAGTCTAAACAACTAGCTATCTAAGAATCTTGCTTGCTTTTACTTCAAAAGAATAAACAAACTAGAAAAAAGGGATAAACAAACAGGAACAGTAAGAGAAAAAAAAAAGGAAAGAAAAAAGGGAAATGAATGAAGACTTCACTAGTGTATGCATTCTCACTTGTTCTCTTCTCAAATTCCCAGTTCCTTTTTCTAGTCTTTTAAGGCTGCGTTTAAAATAACCCAAAGAACTCCAAAAAACATTTTAGCCTACGAAAAAACCCAATCCAAAAAGCCAAGACCAGTAATGGGAAACCTAAAAAAGTGCAAGACCATAGAGCACACAAGTTAGCTGCCTGAGACTTATGCCATGAAGTATGCACCTCAATAAGTAAAGGCGTAAGACTGGAGAAAGACACTTACAGCGTAAGCTTCAAGGCTCTTAATGAAGGTCCAACATGAGACGCGGCTCAAGGCATAGTCTTAAAAGATGTGTAACAATAATTGTATGGCAACAATACCCATCTTAACAATCTCACTTAAGCTATGTCCACCCTAAGGATGTAGTAACTTAACAAATTTCAAGTATCTTCTTTTTGCTCAAATTGTATAATAAATTTTAAGTATATTCATTTTGCTCAAATTGCATCTAAACCTTCAATACTATAACCCTATCTGACATCTTTAGGTTTTCAAATATATGTCCCACCAAACCCATTTCTCAAGTAGTTCCATCAAAACTATCAATATTTCATTTAATCAAAATTGTAGCCTTTAGTTCCTCATTAAAACCTGCCCACAGCATTCACATGATCAAGAAAACAACATAACAAACTCCAAGAAACAATTCATGTCATTACCTAGAAATTTAAGTGCTTGTGTGGAAGTGATTTTTGAAAACCACTTTTCTCCACACCCATTTTCAACCACATATTCTCAAAAAAAAAAACACGCTTCCACTTTTCATTTAATCAAAATTGTAGCCCTTAGTTCCTCATTAAAACCTGCCCATAGCATTCACATGATCAAGAAAAACAACATAGCAAACTCGAAGAAACAATTCATGTCATTACCTAGAAACGTAAGTGCTTGTGCGGAAGTGATTTTTGAAAACCACTTTTCTCCCCACCCATTTTCAACCATGTGTTCTAAAAAAAAAAACACGTTTCCTCGTAACTTTCCCCCTCATTTTAGCCACACATTCTAAAAAAAATCACTTTTCAAATAATCGCTCCCACACAGAGGCTAAAGGAATAATAATGACACATGCAAGCGAGAGGTGAAGTCACCAAATTTGAAGCTTTCGAACATCTTCACATATTAAAATCTCTCCGTATTCAAGTTGTTACCATATGCAATCCAACTCGTGCATATACAATCTTATCTCAATCCATAGTTATTTAAATATTTTCCATAGTGGTTTGGAGATAGTACCCCGATCACATGCCCAATAATATGCATAGTGCACCAATATCTGACCTTTAATGGAACCCTCAATATAAGCCCCTGTTTGAGCCCCATTCTTTAAAAATTCATTTTTCTCCAAACTTATTTCAAGCACACATCTCCATGTAGAATAATTTAACACGTAAACACAAAACTTTTTTCAACTTTTTAACCACACATTCTCAAAAAAAAAAAAAAATTATTACAAAATCTATTTTCCCAAAAAACTGGGCCTCAAACAAATCCTAAGTCCACTTCAGTTATCCCCTGATCTCCACATGAGAAACTCTTGTAAATGTCCTCCATGTCTCTTTCCCGCGAGCATTTTATTGGCACTCTAATCTGGCTATTGATAGTGGTGTGAATCAAGGCCCCAAAGCCCTTCAAGTTTTACAACAAGTGGGTGGATCACCAGTCACCATTCATTCCTGCCTTTTTTCAATATAGTTCGAAAATAATGAATTATGCTAGTATAGGGAATCCTATGTTAATTAAATTCAGAAGCTCAAAAAAGGGCTCAAGGCAAGACTCAAAACTTGGAGCAAGCAAACCAGGTATATAAATTATATGCTCAAAACTTAGAGCGAGTAAAACCAGGTGTATAAATTATATGCACAGCTTACACTTCTCATCAGCACACTGTCAAAAAAAATACTCATCAATTCAACAAAATTGGTGTTTTAACATCTCCTATCTGGCTTTCAGTATAATTTAACATCATTGGTCAGAAATTCTTGAACGTCAAGAATGACTTTCCAAGACCAAAAACTTTACCAATTTCTTCTTTTATCTTTCTGTTGGCCTACTTCTATATTTCAATTGCACAAACCACCAGATTTTCATGTAAGTGTTACTTTTCTATTAATAATATAGAAAGCAATCAGCGAACTAGAAATGACGTCACGGCACTCCTTGCCTGGGGACACTAAACCAGCTGAAATACCCCTAAAGCCTACTTTCAATCCCCAAAATCAGCATTGGGACTCTATGGTCTATGAAATTGCTATACATCATATCACTCACAAATTGAACACTAAAATTACAGAATGGCTACTCTACCTACTAACTTTTTGATGTGAAAATATTTTACAGGTTAGTTGAAAACAAAAAAAAGTTGTATAAACAAGTAATGTGCACTTCTAAGAACATAAGAAGGCATAAAAAGGAAGCCTCAATACGTCATTTAACAAGTTGAACTCAGCCATGGATAATAGTCATCTCAGAAAGTTAACCCAACTATATACAAGATTTTTTTATCAGTCAATGTTTAGAAACACATATCCATCTTCTCGGCATGAGGAGAAAAAAATTGGGACTATATCGAAACAGTTCGCAAACTCCTTGTGATGTTTTTTAACCATCACTCCGCCATGGGATTTAAATGATAACAGTTGAAAATCCTTTAAAGCCTATTGAACCTCATTATCAATGCACAACTATGCAGAAAAAGAAATTACCAGAATATATCTCTTACCAATTACGCCAACCGGATAAAAAAATGTTGAATAAATAAGATTACTTACTTCATCAGGTGGGAGACGAAATAGCTGCCGGTACTCTTCACTCTTTGATGGTTGACTCTGCAACAAAAATATAATGCTTTTATAACCTTTCCCAGGTAACACATCCATCTTTTTTAATTAAAATTTGAAGTAATTAGCAACAACTTAAAATGCCACATTGGCACGATTTACTTGATCTAAAACACCTGTTTCTCCTAACTTACTAGTTCCATGAAAGATTTATCCTGCTCCTCCAATTCCCACAATAAGACCTAACTCCGCTTACATTTCCCAATCTATATATATAGCCTACTATCTGATAACCATCTCCACCCTTTGAACTGGACAACGTCCCTCCGCAAAATAATATTTCTGCCTTTGGATATTTCCCTTTTTAACTTTCCCATTCAATTGATATCTTCATCAAACTAAAGTCCTGAGGATACATTTGTTACAACCTTGACTGACCTCAATTACTATGTTCTCCACTATTTCAAGACAAGAAAAATCCATACTCTCACTAGTACGGATTTAGGGTTCATAACCCAGCTATAGATATTATTTTACAAGTTTCACATATGGACCATATCTCATATGATAGCTTTATGAATTTCTAAGCAAGTTTAATTGATGAAACACAATCTAAGATATGTACTGTAAACCAATAAAATTCAACAGTGCATCATCTCTACTAATTCACCCATACTTCCATATAGCAGCTTTAGCTCAATGCAAAATTCATTGAGAGTCAAAATAGTACTTCTAAAATTCTCTCACCAATTAGTCAGCAAATAGAAATCATTTTCTTTCAACATGACATAAAGATTGGAACAGAAGCAAAACAAGAAATGTACATAAGAACCTTAACACAATCAATAAGAATATAATTAATGATCTTCCTAAAAAATCCATATTTAAATTCAAGATTTTCCGATTGTTTCTTGAAAAATACTAAAAGATCAATGAAAAAATGAACTAAGAATCAACTATAACCCAGTTCCTTTTCTGGAGAGTAAAAAAACGACACCACCAAACTATAGAAATAATAAATAAATAAATAAAAACTGAAGGAGGTCGAAAAAAGACCTGACTATCGAGTTGTCTGGAAGGGCTGGGGGTTGAAGTGGATGGGAGATCAGCCTGATCAGGTACGTCGGCGTACGACGGAGAGTCAGTTGGGGCGGCGGCATCCGAGGAGCCTGAAGAAGAAATATGATCCATGGATTGTGAAATTGGAGGGGAAGCTGTGGGGTCCATGATCTTTTCGGAGGGCACTGCTGCCATAGTAGTTGTATTGATGTATATACGTATATATGTAAGTATATAATGGAACGGTGAGTTCAAGGAGCTGGGAAGTGGGGTGGTGGAGTGTCGGTTGGTTTGATTGGCGTTTCGGTAGTTTACATGTGTTCTTTTTTTAAACCGACAGAGGTTGTTTGAGAATGACGACCGTTGACCCCTTTCGTCACCGTATTCGATTATCTCCACCTCTTAATTCTTATTATTTTTTTAACGCACAGAGTTGAACGTGCATTACACTTTATTGTGAAATAGTGTTGTAAATATAATATTTGATATCAATTTGTTGGGATGATTTGATAAGTTTCAAACGAACTAAAGAAAATAAAATTTAGAATAAAAATTTAAGATAAGAAAATTAGACTTTCAAAACTCAACTTCTATGGTTCGAATTTTTTGTGATGATACAATACTACAAATGAACAATCTTTTTATACTACATTTGATACATAAGAATTAATTACCAATACATGAATTTAAGCCCCAATTAAAATTTCTAGATACACGAATATAAATAAATTCATTTATAATAACTCTAGATTCATGTAAATCAAGATTCATTAAACCAATATTCATTCAGTCTAGATTAATGTGAATGTTAATTAATTAAAAATTAATAACACCGAATTCATGTATGATAAGAATTTTGTAATATTTATTACATATTGAAAAACGAAAAATAAGATATTATTGAAATAATTAAATTGTAGTAGGGTTAAAAAATAATGCTTACGTGATGTGATATTTAATATATTATAGATTATAACAAAACAATTTGGCAACCGTTATTTCAATTTTTTTTAATTTTCATACTTATTTTTAATCATACATTTACACAATAAAATATTTTGCATATAAATTCAAAAAAAAAAATTCTATTTTTTAACACCACATTCTTCAAAAAATCACAATTTATTCTATTTTCTCAAAATAATGATCATCAAACATGGGCCGAATTAATAGCCCGCCCCACCATCCAACTACCTATTGTGGCATTTGTACTTTATCTTTATTTTATGAATAATGTTATTTAGCAATGTGGTGTTAGAACACCAATCTATATGTCATTATGTGATAAGTTAAATTAAATGTGAAATTATATAATTCATTTAATTAAACATTTAGTTTAATGCCATTAGTGCGCCACCTAGACTGATGTTAAATATCAATGATACTAAATAGCATTACTCTTATTTTATTGGGTTATTGGCATAAAACGTCCTTACGTTTGATCTTTAGTGTGCAAAACGTCCTTAAGTTTCAAAATTTTGTATTTTTCACCCATATTTTCTACGTTTCGTTTTGGAGAATGTCATTTTCATCAATTTTTATCCAAATTCTTAATTAAAAAATGTAAAATGACAAATATACCCTCATAAATAAATAAAACAACAAAAAAAAGAAAAAAAAATAATTTTTTTTTGCAAATTATAACCAAAATTTTTTATGTGTGCCATCCACAATCTCAAATTTTTAAAACTTTATTTTCCTTCCCAAACCAAAAAAACAATTCCCTTCCTTCACCAATTATCTCTAGCCTAAGGGCGATTTTTGCCCTCTATGGAGCCACCGTACTTCAAGTCTCCAACCACCACCTTGCCGCCATCTTTGCCATCGAGAATCAACCCTCACATAAGCGGTTTCATGCCACCTACAATCTTCAACCAATCTCCAATCCAAACAACAACTATTGAGGCCAAAATTAATCAAAAACACACCATGGTTGCGCACGATTTAGCAACCAAAATCCGGACCTCTATTGACTTTCATGGTCGCGGACCACCATCGATCGGGTCGCCTCACCATGGCAACCAATTCCATGGAGCCATATCTGAAAATACAAGTCCTAACACACTGTTCATCCTCAGGATCGAGCCCTAATCACAAGCCTTTAAAAGATTTAGATGATTTTGAAGTGAAATTGGGCTGATGGGTTTTGCAATCTTGAGTAGATTTTTTGTGGAGTTTATTGAAGAAAGGGAGGGCGGTGAGTTTTAGGATCTTTGGTGGAGTTTTGGGGGATAAGAAAGGGAGAGAAAGCCTTTTTTTTTTTTTTTTGAGTTTTTTAATAATTTATTTGGGATTCATTTACACTTTTTAAAAAGGTTTGGAAGTATGGTTGCAATTAATTCTTTATTTTTCATTTCATTTCTTTTTTGTCTTATTTAAATACGAGGATATATTTGTCATTTTACATTTTTTAAATTTAGAAATGAGATAAAAATTGACGAAGATGATGTTCTTCACAATGAAACGCAAATATATGAGTGAAAATGTAAAAATTTGAAACGTATGAACGTTTTGTGTCAATATTTTTATCTAACCCATGTTTGATGGCTGATAGTAGGAGCTTTATATCCCTGATCTCGAGCTAGTTGCCCGAGCTTAATTAAAGTTGATTACACTAGCTTTGAGGTCGGACTTGGAGGGTAGGTCGGGGATTGGGTGAGATTGGGTATGGCTTATTCATGTCCAGACCCCTTGACCTTATCTTACGTCTCTTTGGAATATTAATTCTATTTTAGCTAAATGAAACGCAAATATATGAGTGAAAATGTAAAAATTTGAAACGTATGAACGTTTTGTGTCAATATTTTTATCTAACCCATGTTTGATGGCTGATAGTAGGAGCTTTATATCCCTGATCTCGAGCTAGTTGCCCGAGCTTAATTAAAGTTGATTACACTAGCTTTGAGGTCGGACTTGGAGGGTAGGTCGGGGATTGGGTGAGGTTGGGTATGGCTTATTCATGTCCAGACCCCTTGACTTTATCTTACGTCTCTTTGGAATATTAATTCTATTTTAGCTAACATTCCTATTCAGATACACAATCTCAATCCATTAAAAATTCGATTCTAACTCAAATTGTGCAATTCTAACATAACGCAAACACCTAGAATAAAAAAGATAAGGATTACATGAAGTTGAGTCCTTTTAGGATTCCACCTCCAACGTCTATAAATATATAACCTAACATCATTATTCAGGTACGTTTTTATTAATATTTCAGCATGCAATTTTAGGCACAATTCCTCTTTCTGACTTAAGTATCGGAGGAGCGACGATGACACACCTCGACGCATTTGTTTCAAGTATTGAAGACCAGATTACGCGGAGTCCAACCATCCAGCTCGAGTTCATTCAGGTACAAGTTTTTGATAGCATCAATGACTATTATTTGAAAACTCTTTTTTAACATATTCATTTTCAACCACACATTCTCACAATAAAAATTTTCTGTACATATCAAAACTTTTCCTAAAATTTTAACCATACATTCTCCATAAAATTACAATTCAAAACATTATTTCCCATATAATGACCATCAAACAAGGGCTTAGTTACTTTTTAACTCGTTAAATTATAATTTTAAATATATTTTTTTATAAAGATTTTAACTTTATCAAAATTTTAACCATATATTTTATTAACATTTAAAAAATTAATACATTTTTTATAAAAAGATTTATCAAATAATCCTTTAGCCCCTATTTGGTGAGGATTGAAATCAAAACTTTTAGTAAATTTTAATAATAGTTGATAAAATGTATGATTGAAAAGTTGTGGACCCCATAAAATATGTAGTTAAAATTAATTATACTTTGATTATATTAAAATTTTAATTTCTACCAAATAGGTTTCTAATAAAATGACTTAATGCCAATTTGAGCCTCATTTTTACTAGAATGTATTTTGAAATAGTAAATTGATGGAAAATGTGTTGTAAAAAAAAATAAGTGCATATTTGATAGAATTTATTTGGGAATAATGAGTTATAAAATAGTAATTTTTGGAGAATGCGTGGTTAAAAGTAAGAAAACTTTATTATTTTGTGTGTGAAATATTTTATTGTGTGAATATGTGGTGGAGAAATGATACTGTAGCAAACAATTTAATTTTTTAAAGGATGACAAACGGGGTTTAAGGAAAAAATTTTGGATTTACGTACAATATTATTTTATCAAAAAATGTATGTTTGAAAAGAAGAGAGAAAAATACATTTTGAAAATAATGGAGATCAAACAATGACTTAATAAAAAAAACTTAATTTTAATTCTATTAGATTTTGTATGTAATGTGAAACGACTATGAGTAACAAACTTAAAATGACTACGTAATATTCTTTTTTAAAAACTTAAATATCATTAAAAAAAATTTAAGTAAAAATTCACTTGTAAATAAAAAATCTGTGCAAGTAAAAAATTACTTACGGGTAAATTTCACTTGTACTTTTGAGTAAAAAATCACTTATATGTTCTAAAAGTTACTTACAATTAGAAAAGTCAGATATAAATACAAAAAAGTATAAGTTAAAAATTTACTTTTTAGTAAAAAGTCATTTATTTGTTACGCAAAGTAAGGGTGTCAATTTGGCTCGTCAGCTCGAGAATCATGGCTCGGCTTGAAAAAAGCTTGATCCCAGCCCCATGGGTAGGCCCGTGAAGACTCGAGCCTTAAAAAAAAAAATAATAAAATAATATTAACAAGGCAGTAGAATATTGCCTATGTTATTCAAAAAAAAAAAAAAANAAAAAAAAAAAAAAAAAAAAAAAAAAAATTAACAAGACAGCTATTGTTGCCTGCAATAGCAAGCAACTGCACGTACTGCCTTAACAAGATAGTATGTGTAGATATCTGTGTTTAAAATTAAAAAAAAAAAATTCAGGAGTCAGCTCGGCTCGAGCCGAAGGTTCAGATTGAGCTTAGATTTTTTGGTCGAGCAAAAACTCGGCTTGAGCCAAAAAAGCCCCAACTATTATCTTTTGAGTAGAGACCGAGCTTTGAGTTTCAGCTCGTGGATGGCTCAACTCGTTGACATCCATACATAACGCTTTTAAACTTTTTCTCTATTTATTAAATGGTCGATAAGTGTATTTTTTTTACATTTGTATAGGCTCTTAAATTTATTTTGCCCATGTTTGATGGTGGTCATAATAAATAAAAATTGGAAGAAAATGATGTTTTGAATAATGATTTTTTTTAGA